TAATAAATTTACCAAATGCTACATAAGCAAAAAGGAAAAGAAATCACTCTATATAGAGAGCCTAAGCATTGGCAGATGGCTTGCAAGGGCTACATTTTAATGACAATAAATCTTTATTGGTATGTAACTACATAGCCATTTGATGTTCCGCCATGGCACTTTAAACCCACTTAAGCAATCCAAACGTAATTATCACTCATTTAGTGTGCCCTGTGGTTTAAAAAGCAAACTTGATTGTGTATTTGACCCGCAATAAATGCATAGCAAGAACAATCTGATTACCTCAGTCTAATTTTCATTGTCATGTAGTTTAGTTGCTGCTTACTTCGGGTTTGTAGATCCACACTGTGCCAACTAGAAGATTCTACACTTATATAGCAAATCCATTCCCTGGACTGCAGATGTAAAATTAGGCAGGGTCCAGAGATCAGGAAGATCACAACCTCGGATTGCACACTGAGTCCTCTCCTTCCTCTTGCATTGTGATTTATTTATATGCTGCTTAATGCAAAAAAGGCTTCTAAGTATAAAAACCAGTGGCACACCTGTAGTGGGAAAGTCAACATGGATATGCCTTTTAGAGGTGTATTAACAATAGACTACACTGAGGATTGGAGCTAATTTGAGACTTTGCCAGCCCACTCACAAAAAAGGACTCGGGAAACCAAACGTGTGGTGAAAAAAGGCTATATTTGTTCAAATAAAGCAGCAGAGGATCTGCAACACTTAATTAAGCAAATTAAATTTAATTCACCTAATCAAAATAAAGTCCAGGCAGGGAAGTTCCCTAAGGTAGGAGGGATCAGCTATGTCCCCTGTCCTGGGCATGTTTACAGGTTTGAAAGGAATGGAAAAGAATTATTCCACCTTGGTATGATAACCTTGGATGTGTAAACCTGACAAGCATACTGTGGCCCCACTGGTTTGGCGTTTACCCTGGTGTGCGTGACAAGCCTAAAGGGTCGTTCCAAGGGCTCCCAAAGTGAAGCCTGAGCTGGGTGACCTAAGAGTTCCCCAAACCCACTAATGCCTCAGCTATTTATCCCACCAGATCTTAAAATTCTCTTTCCCGCCTGAAGTAAAAGTCAATTAAGCTGATCAAAAAATGCCATCTAGGGCTCTTATCAGCATGGAGTTGGCAGGAGCTCTCCTGAAAATTCTTATTCAGCCCCCAAACTATATAGGTAGGAAAGGAGACCACTGCAATGGGAAGAATGCAACATTTGGGGAGGAACATATTTATAAAGCCTGGCTTCCACCCTGACTGGATTGACTCCCCTTTCCATGTGATCACTCCCTAGCTTCTTCCTCAGGACAAAACATCCTGCACTGTCTTTGAGGGAGAATTGGGTGTGGCAAAGACACCCCCATTCAAATGTGGGAGTGCCATTCTTCATTGTTGGTAGAAATTAATTGGATTTAGGGTGATGTGTCTTCAGTTTAAAAAAATCTTGCTAATCACAGAGTAGTGTGGGCCAGAACATGGAAAGAATATACAGTGGTACCTCGGGTTTACATACGCTTCAGGTTACATACGCTTCAGGTTACAGACTCCGCTAACCCAGAATATTACCTCAGGTTAAGAACTTTGCTTCAGGATGAGAACAGAAATGTGCTCCGGCGGCACAGTGGCAGCAGGAGACCCCATTAGCTAAAGTGGTGCTTCAGGTTAAGAACATTTCAGGTTAAGTACAGACCTCCGGAACGAATTAAGTACTTAACCTGAGGTACCACTGTATATATTTTAGAGCTCTGAATGATTAAAAAAAGGAAACTGTACACTCAGACAGCTGGGACCAAAATGCAAGCGCGTTCCACTCTTTCTGTGAAGACTGAAGATGCCAAAGAAAGCTGCTGGTTATTCACTCACCCTGATAAGCTTAGCAACATGAGTCTTTCCACTGCCTGGCAATCCTCTCATGATAATGACAATCTAAAACAAAGACAGCATAAATTAATTGTGTTATTATTTACATATTGCATTTATACACCGCCTTTCTGCCAAGGCACCCAAGGTGGTTTACACTTCTTTATTGTAACAACTTCACTGTTCTCTCACTGGGAGCTGCTGAGAGAAACATTTTGCAACCACAGAATCAACCAGGCACCACATTTCGCAGCATGAGGAATGGTAATGGTAGACCAGTCAACTCCTTTTCTTGCTTGCTACTCAATCATGGCAGCCCCTGTGGGGATTGCTTTCACCCTCACTGGGTAGCAAGCAAGGAGAGGGGAGATCTGGCTGTGCTTGGAGAGCAGAACTGCATCCAAATTCAGTCAAACTTTGGAAGGCATGGGAATCTGTCTGGGGAGATTACACATTACATAAACATTAGCTGAAGTGTCTATTTCTCATGCATTTTGTTATTTAAGATTAGAAAGCCACATTCACACTACTCACCCTCTCTGGTCTACTCTCCCTTCCAGGTGGCTTCAGTATATCATCCACATTTTTAGATTCTGGTTTCCTCTCTACACGAGGGGCAGGTGGTGGTTGTCGGGGTAATGATGGAGCAGAAATGGGCATTCTTTCTTCAGGGTAATTTCTGCGATCACCTTAACACGAAGTTCACACAAGAGAGAAAAACAAAATTAACTAAAATTATGCCCTGAATTAAGAGACCATTAGTTCCTAAGAGACTTCCACTTCTGTTTCCAATATGCTTTGCGGGCAATTTACTCATTAGTCTGTACATTTCATTGATTTATTTTAAAGTTAAGTTTCTAAACTGGAACAAAAACAAAGAAGAACCCCAAAAGATGGCATAGTGCAATAAAAATGAATGAATAACATTTTCCCTTCAAGCTAGAGACTTTGATACTGACTTCTTCTGTGGTTTAGGAAAGTTAATGAACCTTTTGTTTCAGGAGAAAAAATGTGCTACTTTGATTTTAGCCACAAGGACAAACAAGAGAAATGATTATGAGAAAATTAATCTCTCAGAAATAGGATAAATAAAGGTGTGTTCTCATATGGACTGAATAATAGATATATTGCTTGAATTGGAACATGTATCTAAGAACATGCAAGGGTCTAATCAGGAAAGCAAATGCCAAAAAACACATTGCAAGGCATAATAATTTTCTATTACCATGTGTAGCACAATTTCCAAATACAACTTTGCATAATCCTTTTTTTTGGGGGGGGGAATAGATAAAGAAATCAAGAAATGCTTAATGTGCAGCACCTGCTTTGTACATGTGATACCACATTGGGTGATTCATGAATGAAGAAACCTAAGAGCCTGTCTGCATGAAAGTCTTACTATAAGAATGAGATAGATTATTCTTGTATATAGGACAATGGCTGCAATTCTACATGCACTTAGCTAGAAGTAAGTCACAATGAACTCAGTGGACTTGCTTTTTAGAAAACATGCACAGGATTGCACTGTACATAATTATAATGGACTGTATCTAACGCTGGGTGAAAAGAGTTCTACTTGTGTAACAGGACTTCCTTCCTCTCCTTTCATTGTGCACCCCCAAAATCTTCTCCAGAGGGTCCCCCAATCCCTATAGCAGAATTTGAGGGTGCATGGGAAGATTGCAGGGGAGAAGAGGTGAGGGAAGTTCTGTTTGCACAAGAGGACGTTTACTGCATGAACAAAGCAGTGTATTGGATGAAGCCCAGTATCTATTCAGTACATGCAAAGGCTTCGAATACTGAAAATTACTGAGTCTCAAACTTCATAGTTATTGCTTAAGGCAGGGAAGGGAACCTGTGGCCTTCTGATGTTGTTGGACTCAAACTCCTAGGATTCCACACTAGCCTGGCCAATAATCAGACAGACCGAACACAGTTCATTATTTATTACAGATGTAGCTATACTGCCCTTCAATCAAATTCCTGGGGTGCTTCACATAAAAAAGTTCCATTACATTGTAATGCAAATATGATTATCCTTAAAACCCCTCTCTTTAAACCAAGGAGGGTCAAATATATAAATGCAACTTCAATCACTGATAATACTTTTATCCTTAATTATAAGGAAGAAGTAAGCGAGTTCATAGTCCCAAATTCATTCTGAGACCTCAATATTCTAATATTTCTTCAAGGTTGAAGATTTATACCTCCAAACATCGGAGGCCCATGATCATAAGGTGGACGATCAGGTTTTCTTTCATATGATTGTCTTTCAAATCCTCCCCGTCTTGAGTTTGAATGGTCTTTGTCACGAAAGGACTGAGCTCTTGAAGGAGATGGCCTGCTAAATGAAGACAGCATATTGTAACACAAACTGCATGGTTTCTTTGAATATTACACATTTAACAAAAATGTACATGAGATTCTCTGATAAACCAATTCCTGGCCAATCCTATACTTTGCTGCTGGATGCAATAACTATCCTTTATTAAGCCCACACCAAGTAATATATCCCTGTATGAAACAGTTACAATCTCAGCCGTACACCTTTCAACCAAGAGGGGAAGAAAAGTTTAAATGTCTGTCCTCCCATGGTATATGCTCACAAGGCTGCAGCTCACAAGCAGGACACAACAGTGCTCACTTCACTTGTGATTCCCAGCAACTGGTATGCATACGCCCTCTGAGTGTGGAAGTAGAACAAGATACTCCCATGTACAAAAATCAAAAAGAGAAGTGACAGTTCAAAAACTCAGCACCGCAACCTGTCTGAAAACACACTTCTGAATCCTACTTATTCCTCCTATGTTACATACCTGTCATCTCGTTGATAGCGTTCTTTGTCAAATCTTTCCCGTTCATGTTCTCCAGAAATACGGTCCCTGTATGGCTCTCTCTCTCGCCTGAAGTCTCTGTGATCAATATTGGCATTATTTTGCCGCTCAAAATAAGCATCTCTTTCCTTGAGATATCGTTCCCGTTGGCCTGGATGTTCTGGAAAATGAAATCAAAATAATTTTAAGAGTTATTCTACAGGATCGCAGAATGAGGTAGAAGCATCAAGTAGCAAATTTCTTGGGTTGAACTACTTGACTACAGCAAGGGATTGCATGTTTGAATGCTCCTTCATTTTAAACACGCCATTCAAGACAAAACACAACAACAAGGAGAAGGCTATTCTAAATCTCTCTTCCCCAACGTGCTAGTTTTCTATGTACAGGGAGCTTTTTATATGAGGGGGCATTCCGCCCTACCTTCAGTCTGGTACAGTCTTGAATTCTGCCACCTCAGTCTACATCAGCCGTCCTCAACCTGGTGCCCCAATAACCATGGCCAATAGGAATTATAGATGAAAACATCTGGAGTGCATCAGGTTGGGAATGGGGATGGCTGTTGTTCTTCATAGTATCTAGAACAACTCTTTTGAATATTTACAAGAATTCAAGACATGGCGAAAGCCATATTGCTTTAAAAAGGAGGTGGAATGTGTGTATGTTTTAACAAGGAACCTACCAAATATCAAACTGATGCCTGCCTTCTACTTAAAAGAGACATCTCAGAGACACCAAAGTACACCCACCTTTTGAAAAGGGCTGCCTCTCATGAGGAGCTTCTGGACGCAGAGTTATACGCTCCCCATAAGGAATTTGTCCACCTTTACTGGTTATATCTGTCAAATACAAATTAGCAATAATAAAATTAAGAGATTGCCCCAGATACCATCTTCGAATAAATGCATTCAGACCATCACCAGCAGCTTGAACATCTTGGAGGCTGGGGAAGAAGATTTACCATCCGTGCCCTCCCCAGCATTTCCCTTTGGCTTTTGTCAATCTCTGCAGGATGAATGATGATGGTAAGGTAAAGGTAAAGGTACCCCTGCCCGTACGGGCCAGTCTTGACAGACTCTGGGGTTGTGCGCCCATCTCACTCAAGAGGCCGGGGGCCAGCGCTGTCCGGAGACACTTCCGGGTCACGTGGCCAGCGTGACAAAGCTGCATTTGGCGAGCCAGCGCAGCACACGGAACGCCATTTACCTTCCCGCTGGTAAGCGGTCCCTATTTATCTACTTGCACCCGGGGGTGCTTTCGAACTGCTAGGTTGGCAGGCGCTGGGACCGAGCAGCGGGAGCGCACCCCGCCGCGGGGATTCGAACCGCTGACCTTTCGATCGGCAAGCCCTAGGCGCTGAGGCTTTTACCCACAGCGCCAGCCGCGTCCATACATGATGATGGTAGTCGGCTGCAAGCCATCTAGCCTGGTGAGGAGACCCCTCCCACTCTGAACTGCATTTATTAAGCCCTTGGAATGCAGTAAGACTGGATCCAAGAACTGGAACTTTATTGTCAGTTAACTTTTTTTTGTTTTGTTCTGTAATGTATTTACGTCCAGCTTAATTCTTTTGCAGTACTGAATTTATTCTGTTTGCTGAATTGTTGGTTTTTGTCCTATTTGAATGTATCAATATGTTTTGAATACTGCTTCTCTCCATCTTGCCCCATTAATGTTTTGTAGTCTGAAAATAAGTGGATGCCTCTTATAATTTGGTTGGGTGGGCACAACTTGGTGTAGAAAGGCAACTAAAAATAAATTAAGCCAAACTAAATCAGCCAACCAATAAGTGTCATTTCTTCAACAAAGACATTAGCTCGAGGGACAATAACAGGAAACAGCTGCCTTTTTTGTTTTAAAGAAGAGCTGTATAAATTGCTTAGTCATCAAACAGCATTTGCCACAATGTGGGACTGTGCATTACTTACAAAGCTGTAATTAAATTAAAAACAGGCATTCCCCAGCTAAAGCTCTCATGAGAAAAATACCACAGGGAGAAAAACTAGCAATGCTGTAATTTATTGATGGCTAATTGTTTTGTTTCCAAAAAACAAAATAACAGATGCCAATAAGGAACCTTAAGTAGAAACGCACAAAAAATCACAAAACTGGTTTTGATTAGTGGGTCCCCCACTTAATCAAATCTTGCTGCAAGGAGGAACTGGTGTGTTTTGATATAGCAGCAACCTGACACAACAGTGTATGTTTCAACATAACATAACAAAAGCATTAAAAAAGCAGAACTGCCTCCCTCAATCATTCCAATGTCAAACCAGTCCAGTATTCTGTTTCCACACTGTTCATATTTTTATGAACCTCCACCATGTTATCTTTTCTCTAAACATTTTAGCCTGAAATGTTTTAGCTATTCCTTACACGGAAGGTGCTTATTAGGTTTTGTGAACCATTCAGACATACAATCAGTTTATGAATACCTAGGTAACAACCAACGTTACCAATATCTTCTCCTTTACATCATATTCTTGCAGTAAAATGGCAAGTTCAGACTGAACAATGGCAGTTATAGAGGCTGCAAATTGGCAGTTTATTATTTATCTGCATAAGGCCCAAAGTATTATTTGTTATTTCTATTGATTAGCCATCTCATAACACAAATACTCTAGATCATATTCTGTATAAGAAGGAATAAAACAAGAGCTCTTTCTCATTCTAGTTCATAGACAGGCTAGACGATTTAAGGATCAGGGAATCAGACCTAACAAAAATTTCTCTATTAAATTATCAACGTAAAGATGCCCTAAAGGGTCCATTTTTAATGCACAGAATGTAGACCAGCACACTCCTCTGATGAGAATTGTATTGGCTATTTTTTTTTTTATGCTACAGGCATAATCCTTCTGTTAATTAGCATTATTAAGATAAACAGTATTCACCTTGCCCATGGCCGTGTCCATGCCCGTAGTCAACAGTCTGATGAATAATTGGTGGCTTGGAAAGTTGTGCTATACCCGACCCAAAGGAAGTTGCGACTGTCGATGAAGGTAATGAAAGATCTGATGCAGGTAAGTCATTCTCTGATTTTAACCCTTTATCTTCACTGCTATCCCAAAGTCCCTGGAAAGAATCCTCATCCCAACGTTCTTGGCTCATGGCAGGTGATGATTTGACCATAGCAGCTGGACCTTGAGAGGCTGCTGCAGCTGAAATGGGAATTGGAGTACTTGGCTTTGTTGGTGGACCAGGCATTTTTACCGATGGGAGGGGGCCCTTTGTTGCTGGGACAGATGGCTTTGCAAGTGCAGCGCCTGGCTTGGCTGTTGGGGCAGCTTTCCGAAACATGACGGGTGGCTTTACTATTACAGCTGGCGTAGGCTTAATAGATTGCTCCTCTATTGGTATCTCAGCGTGCATTTCAGAAGAGGCCTAAATAAAAGGATATTTTAAAATAAAAGGTACATGAAATTAACAGCAATTTTTAAAATGTTGTCAGATACTGTCATAGCAAATGTGTACTTTGATACTTAAAACAGGCCTTTTGGGGTACAACATCGATGAAAGGGTACAAAGAAAAGGCTAATTCTTTTTTTTAAGGTGGTTACATGGAATTTACAATATTGAAACTTATCATAAGGAATTTGTATACAACTTGTGTCTGTTGCTGCCTTAGCAATCTCAGTTGCCCAATGCGCCTTCTCATCTAAAGTTCTTTTGTGGCCAGGTCAAGTTTTGTAAATCACCCAAATGTGGAGCAGCCATAGTAGTGAAAACAAAATATGACAAAACACAGCTACAGATAAAGTTGCGGCTACCTGGTGGTGATATGTGGTAAATATTATAAAAGTGTTGTTTTGCTTGCCATGAAGCAGTGGTAAGTCATTACTTCCTCCACATGGTTGTGTCTTTGAGATTTCTCTAAGTAGAGAAATTTACAAATGTTTGATCCAGCCCTCAGTTAATAAGGAGTGCTTTTTCTTAGCTACATTTGACAGGCACCCAGTAACTCCCATCCATGTTTTGATAATCTCAGGGATCAGCTGCTCTAGCATGCTCTATGTGGGGCCACCCTTTAATGCAGTGGAAAACTTGCCACCAGTAGAAACGAAGTGGCCCAGCCGAATTCAAAATGATGGTGATTTCCTAAAGTTCTATATAGTCCAAATCCAGTACATCTTTGGGAGACCCTGCTCCTAGACGTTCCCTTGTCTCCTGAAATTTGCAGGAAAGGTGCACTGGAATCACAGTGAGAGTTACGAGGATGAAGATCTGATTTCTTCATAATGATGCATCATTCTCAAGAAAGACCTGCTGCAGAACCACTGCTGCCTCCGACCGTGGATACAGAGCATAGTCATAATGACTGGTAACTAGTCTGGAGGGGTGGGGAAGCAAGCTCAAGCATAAGTTCTTAAAAGCTTCCATTTAAAAACCATTTTTAAAAAGACATATACAAAAAAAAGTGCATCACAGTAAAGTCACACTCGCACAATATTTTCCATAGCAAGACTTAATTTACCTGAAAGTTATCCTTCCTAGCTCTAGGAATTTCCTGTGGTGGCAGTTCAGGAACAAATTCATTCATCTTCTTCATATGTTCTTTCTGTTCTCTGCAGTCAAAAAATCATATTATTCATCTTAAATGTTCTTTTGAAAACCACAAAAAGTATATGCATTTGTCTTAAACAAGATTTTAAGAACCACCAGGTTTACTTATGTTCATCTGTGGCACCAACACTGTGGAACGCCCTCTCTAAGGAGGCCTGCTAGGCTGAGAAGCTAGTGAATTTTAAGCAACAAACTAAAATTGGCTACTTTGTAAAACATTTAGACTAGTATTTCCAAAACTTTACACCCCAATCCACCTGGAGCACTTGAAAATTGCTGAGCATCTTGCTGGACCACTTAATTATTGTTCTGCCTATTGTCACAATTGTAATGCACTGTGAAATATTATGTATGCTTCTAAATTGTGTTCTTAAAGGTAAAGGTACCCCTGCCCATACGGGCCAGTCGTGTCCGACTCTAGGGTTGTGCGCCCATCTCACTTAAGAGGCCGGGGGCCAGCGCTGTCCGGAGACACTTCTGGGTCATGTGGCCAGCGTGACAAAGCTGCATCTGGCGAGCCAGCGCAGCACACGGAAACGCCGTTTACCTTCCCGCCAGTAAGCGGTCCCTATTTATCTACTTGCACCTGGGGGTGCTTTCGAACTGCTAGGTTGGCAGGCGCTGGGACCGAGCAACGGGAGCGCACCCCACCGCGGGGATTCGAACCGCCGACCTTTCGATTGGCAAGTCCTAGGCACTGAGGCTTTAACCCACAGCGCCACCCGCGTCCCAAATTGTGTTCTTATTGTTTCTTATATAATATTTTATTGTACTACAACTTGAATTTTATGGAACTGATCTGCCCTTAAATATTTTTCATCTCGTTTTGCTTGGCAGTTTGGAATTTTAGGGTTTTGGCAGGTTTTTTCTGCTTCAGTTGATTCTTTTTAGTGCATTTTGATTTGTTGCTATATTGTTTTACTATAGTACCGTTAGCCACTTTAGGCTGTCATTTGACAAGCAGGGCAGACTTATAAAACACAAATGTTTCCAACAAAATGTAACACTTTTCTCAGTGCCAAAAACGAACACTTGATCCTTCACAGAGAGCATTTAGCTCCCAAGGTACATTTCTTTTTCACACCAGCTCAAATCTCATTGCAATTTCTGAGGATCTCATTTTTGTGTTGAGAGAATTCAAGCCTTTGTGATCAGAATTCTCACATATTCCAAAAGGACGTCTGCAGACCACTTTCCTAGTTCAGTAAATGGCGAAACACACCACTGTTGACAACAAGAACTAGCAACAGAGATTTTTCTACATATCAATGGAAGCTGCCTTGTACTGACTGGCAGTGGCTCTCCAGTGTTTCCCAGCCCCGCCCAGAGATGCCAGGGATTGAACCTTGGACCTCTGCATGCTCTAGCACTTGTTCCTGTCTCAGAGTTATAAATGTTACAATTACATGCACTGCTTGAAAATCTAGATTTGATGTATCCATGGAGTGCAGTGTAATAGGACTGCCTGGCAACTTTACACAAGAGTAATTTAAAACCAAGCATAACAAAATGTGAAGTGCCCTCCTTTAAGGCAATATTAGTGTGAGTGGACTTTGTACCGCTTCATGTGAACTGATAGACAATGCTGGGCCTTTTGTTTCCATTGGCTCCCTTTTCTGAATTTCTTAAAAATACTGCAGGTCTGCATGAACAAGGTTCTCCTGCCTGAATATTTACTACTCAGTTTTAAGGATAAGCGTGATCACCGCCAGCTATGTTATCTGACTTTTTTCTAGCATAGGTATGCTATGTGCAGAACTGTTCTTGATTCCATGGGAGGTTCTTCAACATTAAAAAAACACCTATTTTAACTTCATTAGTTTAAGACTGATAAAAAGTGCTGTTTAAAGCATAGTTATCTCAATGACCCTTGACTTATTAAACTTGCATACCCTTCCATCATCTAAGCTGACCAAAATGTTCACAGCTATTTACCACCTAATTATATGTATTTTTGCAATTTGCAAGAGGGAATGGAAGGCGGAGGGGAGATGAAAAAGCAGGTTTTTCCAAAGCCAAATAAACAAGAACAGCAGCCAACTCACCGTAGCATTTTTAGCTCTTGGGCAGCTTTCAGGATTATTTCATGTTGCCTTTGACTAAGGACCATTACACCTCCCAACGATGGCTCAGAGGCTAAATTTGGCTCGTCTCCCAGCAATTCAGATGAGCGTGGTGGCAGAGGTGGTGGATCCAGACGATCATCTAAACGTGGGAACCTGTCGATTTCATCTGAATACCACCTATCTGAAAATCTTTCCCTTTCCCAATCACCCCTGTCGGGTGGGAAATCAGATGGTTCCCTCCATGTGTCATGTCTCTCTGGATACTCTCGAATTCTGAGCTCCCCCCGGTCTCTGGAATCTCTGTCGTAGAAATCCCTCTCTCTCTCCTCCAGCCATCGCTCCTCACGGTATCTGTCTAAAGGAGGAAGTGGAGGAAGGGGTGGCAAAGGTGGGAGAGGAGGTATGTCCAGATCACTAAGCGTATCTCTGTCACCCAGTGGTCTAAGGTAATCTCTGTCCCAGTCTCTTTCTGAATCACGATCATACATATCCAAGGGTCTTCGGACCCTGTCCAGATCTCTGTCTAGCTCTCTCTCTCTCCCCAATGGCCTTTCCCAGTCATCCCAATATGGTTCTCGTCTATCAAGATCAGCAGATATTGGAGGTAAAGGAGGTAGAGGGGGAAGAGGTGAAAGAGGTGGCAATGGATGACGGTGTGCTGACATGTCATCTCTCTCATATGGATCAAGAGGATCATCATGGTATCGCTGGTCGCGCTCAACCCAGTATCTGTCTCTTTCCCAATCCTCCAATCGTCTGCGCTCTAGAGGAGGAATATCTTGGTATTCAAATGAGCGCTCCTCTTCCATGCCTGCCTCTCCGTAAGACCATGGAGGCCTGGGTGGTTCTTCACGAAATGGAGGCAAGTTATCCATACCACCTCCAAGGCCTGCGTCACGTCTGTGCATATCCCTCTCCCGGCTACTAGGTCGCCGTCCTGGTCCCCTTTCATGGTTACCAGCCAGCCGGTCCAGTCCCCTTTCCTGACTACTGGGTTGCCTGCCTAAGCCCTTTCCCGGCAATCTGCATGGCCTCTCTCTGCTGCCCATCTGGGGAGCTGGTTCCCTGTCTCTAGCTGGTAACCCTCTGTCTTGGCTTCTCGATTGCCTTTCCAATGCCCCTTCCTGGTTGCTCGACTGTCCACCCATCCCAGATTCCCAACTGCCCGACTGGCCCTCTGGCATCCTGTTGTGGGGTCCTGGCCCACTGTTTACATCTCTGCCACCCATATCTCTGGTCAGACCTCTACCTCTGTTTGGTACTCCCCTTCCTCTGGCATCATCAAATCGGCCTCGGCCCCTACCTCTATTGTCTTCCATTCTACCCTGGCCCCTGCCCCGGCCTGCTGGCCCTTTGGCCTGGTTATCTCCCGGCTTGATTTGTCCCCTCTCCCGGCTTTCCAGTTTAGATGGCTCCTTGCTCTGATTATTTTCAGAAGAAGACAGTTTGTTTTCTGCAGAATTCAACTCTTTATTTCCCATCGGCGCTGGTGGTAACATTTTCTTCCCCCCTGGTACAGTGGAACCTGGTGTCTGATGGAGAACACCCGAAGTAAGAGGTTTTTTTGATTCTTCTGTTTGCAGTTCAGCCTCCGCAGAGCTTGGTTTCTTTGTTTCTGACATTGTTTCTCTGCCCTCTTTTCTGGATGAATTTTGCTGTGCTTTAGACATGACTGTACCTGGCTGAACAGAACCAGTAACCTTTGTATCTGGTCTAGGTTTAGATTTATTTGCCACTGTCTGATTATTGCTCATATCAGTAAAAGATTCCTTATGTTCTGTCTGATGGTTCTGTTGTCCCAAAGGAGGCCTAGGCCCCCGCCACCGTGGTCCACTTGCTTGGGAAGCCTGCATTTGTGAAGTGCCTGAGGAAGTATAAAATGCTGCTGCTGGGCCCCGGGGGATTGTCCCCTGTTTGCCTGAAGATCCATCGACAAGCTGATTTTGAAATCTTGGCCTTGGACCATCGAAACGTTGCCCTTGAAAATGAGGTCCTTGCTGTCTTGCAGGTTCAAATTTATCGAAGTCTCTTCCTCGTGGTGCATCAAATCTGTGTATTTAGAAATGAGACATTTTATTCAAGTAAGAGATTTCGTGAGACTTTTTTATATAAAACAACTCCATAAATCCTCTTGAAAACAGCTGCCAAATTAAAATCTCATTAAGTAATAACGATACACAAAATTAACCAAAATATTAGATTTGCTGCATGCAAATGGAACATGGCAGAAACAAGTATTGGATTCACCCATATCTATGCTCATCTTCTCCACCTCTTCCTTAGATAGAAAGGAATATCTGAGTCAAGGGTCAGACTCAAGAACCACCTTATTTGGTTCAAGGGGTGAAAGATGTAGACACATGCAGTATTCTACTGAGTCAGGTGTCTTCATCCTTTGGGAAAAGCAGATAGAGGTTGAGGCACAGGTATGTGTGAGCCTGGGATTTACTTCCTGTCCTCTTAGGTGTAAGAAGTAGTGTCTGACCAACTTCTGGGCTCCAGAGAGCTTAGAAGTCTCACACTTCAGAAAACATAATTTTAAAGCATTTATTAAATTTTAAACTGACGATGACAACTGAGATTACACTGGAGTTACAAACAATAACAATTTATAATACAATATCTTCCTCTTATCTCTTTTGTGTGTGTGTGCAAACAAGACACCTGCAGAGCAATCACTTTTGCTGCTTTCAGGTGGGCACTGAAGATGATTTCACTTAGGAAGACTTTTGCTTTGTTAGGTAGCTGCTGGTTGTTGGTTTTTTGTTTTTTAAAAAACTATATATAAACTGTTGCTAATTTTGTGTAAAGTGGGATATTACTAAATAGAGCAGCAGGAACAAAAGCACAAACTCTGCTTTTGGTTTGTTTTTTGTGAGACTAGAATTATACATTTGGCAGCAGACCTGAGTGCCCTGTGAACAGCAGCATTTGAGTGACTGGGAGAAGGGGCTTAACTCTGGCCCCAATTCCCTTTTCACTGACAACCTCCCTCATGCTTTCCCCCAAGATGCATTTGATGCATCATGGAGGAAAGTAATTGCCATACTGGGATGTGCATGGATTTACTCCTTCCTTCACCCTGCAGCCCACACCTGAGTACACTCTGCATGTAAGTTTTATTTTTAATTCTCCATTTCCCCCGAGTATATGGATGCCTCCATCTTGTTTGTGAGTGAAGCTGTTTTGACTACAAAGCTTCTGGCACTTAACCTCATTAGCATTATGAGGACTGGTACTACAGGCTCCCACAGATGTGGTCCAAGCATTGCCCCTCACCAAGAGAATTATCAAGTAAAGAACAGACACTTCTATTGGTTTCTAAGGACACTCATGGTGGCTAAATTCCTAATGCTTCAATATTGGAAGGAGGAGTCCACTTGCCACCCCTGTGCACCATAATCATGGACAGAGGACATGACAACTGGCAGCATATGAGATGGTGACCTTCTGTAAACATAAGGAAGATGGGGAAGCCTCCTACTAAAGGTCTATTTACTTGAATATCTGGTCACTGGGTTTGTTCTGGACCACCAGCTGCTCCCCCTTTCTCTTTGGAACATTCAATTAAAAAGCTACTAACAACACACAAAATGAGAAGGAAAAAAAAGAACTGGCTTTGGGTATTTCAAGAAATAATCTGGAAGAACATATGAGGTTAAAATATGGTAAAGCATAAGATTAAAATAGGCCAGGGATACCATTGGGCGGGCAACAACCACTAAATGAGCACAGTCACATGAAATACCATGTCCTACTGGCAAAGCACACAGGATTACATAACAATATTTAAGAGTGTTTCTACTGTACTATCATCCAAAACAGCATTGCCATACAAAAATGAGACAGAAAGAAAACCTACCTTGACACCCTTGGACCTTCATGGTGCTGTCCCCTGGCAGAATCAGGAAACCCGGCTGACCTCCCTGGTCTGCTCTGATAGGTAGTAGTGGTGCTGGTGGTGGATGCAGATGAGAAGGACACTGTAGAGTGAGGTTTCACTTCAGCAGAAGTTAGTTCTGATGAAACAGAACCAAATGGCATTGCCTGTTTGCCCAGAGGCGCAAAAGAACTGCCTTGGTCTGAAGTGCTCGCAGATGATGTCACATCTGAGTGGTAATTCTGGGTGGCAGATGTATCAGTAGTTTTAAAAGAAAAGGAAGCAGGGGTGGGAAGAAGAGGTGGCCTGGTTGCATCCATTGTAGCGTGGGTCATGGCAGGAGAAACCGTAGCTTTAAATGAAAAGGAAGCAGCAGAAGAAGGGGTGGGAAGCAGGCCTGGCCTGACAGTATCCATGGCCGGGGTGATGACGGGTGTATCATTACCTTTAAAAGGGAAAGCAGGGGTGGGAAGCAGAGGTGGCCTTGTTGCCTCCATGTTCTGGGACGTGGCAGGAGACTCAGTTGCTTTAAATGAAAAAGAAGCAGCGGTAGGGGTAGGAAGCAGACCTTGCTTGGCCATCTCCGTAGTCTGGGGAGTGGGAAGCGACTCTTTAAATGAGAAAGAGGCAGGAGAAGGAAATGGAGGTGGCCTGGTTGTCTCTGTGGCCTGTGAGGTGGTAGAAGACTCAGTTACCTTAAATGAAAAAGAAGCTGCGGTAGGAGTAGGAAGTAGACCTGGCCTGGGCATTTCTGTACTTTGGGTAGTGGGAAGTGACTCGGTAACTTTAAAAGAACCAGGAGTAGGGTACAAATTTGGCCTCGGTGTTTCAGTGCTCTGGGTGCTCTGAGGACCAGATTCTTTTGAAATAGGCATATCAGACTTTTGTGGGCCAGAAGAGAATCCAGTGGAAGGTGGAGGCAGTGCAGCTGAAGGCAAAGGAGGCTGCCCAACGGACATACCACTTTGTACTGTTTGAGAATATGCAGAAAATGCAGGCGGCAAAGTTACACTCCCAGGATACTGACTGCTCATGTTCCGAAGAGACTTCACTTTCTCCTGAAGGTGGGTGTAAGTGACTTTCATCTGTCCCTGCCACATTTTCCACTGTTTCTCACACTCATGAAGTTGGTCTTTGTGAGGGTAGGCCTGAATTTGATCCTGCCACTGCTGAAATTCACGTTCCCACTCCTTGTAAAGTGGCTGGAACTGTTTGTTCTGTGCTTCATAATGCTGTAGCTGCGTATCCAAAGACATTGTCTGCCAGAAAGAAAAGGTAGTAAGGAACACCCTTTAAGTTAGTTCAATGTACCGACAATGCTTTAGACACAAACATATCTTACTTGTCGCATAGCAAAGCACAGGTCTGTACACTGAACACTGTTCATGCTTTCCAACATCTTCCATGAAATTGTTGTGCTTTAAAGGTGAAGCCATATATTTGGGCCTTTGAACTTTATTTTTGTTTAACATCACAGATTCACCCCCTACCAAACTAAAATGATTCTACACTCTGACTCTAAATATATTGCATGATTAAAGCTACTGAAAAAATGGAAATTATTTCTACATAGTCTATTTAGATTAGTGAACATATTTTTTAGTTTTCTTCTCACAAGGAAGATGCTTCAATATAAAGTATTACTTTTCTTCTTCTCGGCTCAATTTCTTGCCTACTCTTCATTGATTCACTATTACAGGGCAGGTTACAGCATAAAACAAGACTGAAATGTTAGCTTCTTGTCTGCCTTTTCAGAAGTTAACATGTAGCCAATGAGCAAAGGTCTACATCAGAGTTGGGGAACTTTCTTCTCTGATGGTTCAGATCTGTATCTGCCTCACGGGTCAAAATTTGGCAGTTTGCCCATCAGTCATAATGATGTCAAGGTGATGATGCTCTTTGATGGCACACCCCCAGAGCAGCTTCAAAGAGGCTTGCTCCAGCATCACAAATGAGTTTGCATTGAAAGCCCTGCTTAAATGGAGATCCCTCCCTCCACTTCATCAGGGGCTTCAGTGCAAGTCCTAGAGCAAGGCACAATCTAACCACTCACTGGTAGATCAGGATCATCTGATGGGTGATTGAAGCATGCCTTGCTCAAAGCAAAAGAATAATCGGGAGCTCACTTTACTCTCCCAGTTGTTCATTTGGAGCCACCTTGGTAACTGCTCCACACCTGAGGTGACATACAATGTGGTGGGATGGAAGGCTGTGAAGACCAAGAACAGCTTGCTGGGCCAAACTGGGACCTCTAACAGGCCAAAGCTGACCTGTGGACCACCACGAAGAGTCATGAAACTCTGTTAGCACCATTAAATTGTATTAAGTATCTCACTCAAGTGGGAAAAATATGGATCAAATCATATTACTTTAATGACTCACTGGCAAGTGCGACAACTGTATGATCTGTTGGTAGCGCTGTAGAATTTGTTGCAACTGTGCATGCTGCTGCATTATTCTCTGATACTGGAAACCCACTCGCTGCTGTGGATGCTGTTGCCATTGTGTGGCTGCCGCCTGTAGCTGCTGTAATCTCAAACTTTCCTCAGGATCCTCTGGTGGTTCAATGCTCAACTGGAGGAATAAGCAAATATCAAATAATAGAAAACTTGTTCAATCATACAGCACAGCAGTTATACAGCTCTAATCATTGTCAGTACTGGGGAAAGTAGTTGTACATGCCCGAAAGCAAGCAAATACAGAGGGTTTTGTCCCATCCTCCCCTTCTTCAACAAGTTAAATAGTCCAGGCACAGCATAATGTAACTGCATGCCTATGGTAGAAAGTATATCTGACCACAAGTCAGAGCAGGATTATCCCAGTTCCTCCTTTTCAAATACAGATTTTTATTTTTAGTGAGAATCTCCTACCAAAAAAAAAAAATCACTACTTAATCACTACTTCCCAAGAGCACTGCTTTTTGTTGCCAGAACACATAAAAACTAAACAGGTATTTTACAACTATCAGAATTTATTGCACTATCAAGAGATATGCTAGTGCAATAAATTCTGATAGTTGCCCCATTCCATGATCTGTTGTGCAAGACACTGGATGATATACAACTAAGGACTCAGCTATACAGTTACAAATAAAATGTTTTAAGTATGTTTCAAGTGCAATATACAATGTGACACTATATGGCGATGGTGAGCCTTATGGAAAATTCAATGTATTTTTAAAAACACTTTTAAAAAAGCATTTTCAGAACAGTTTTTATATGTGTGTAGATTCCACCTAAGTCATATTCAGAGTAGACCCACTGAAATAAATAAATTACTTAAGTCTACTGATTGCAAACCATAAATCCTCACTCACAGGAGAGTGGCCTCTACAAGACACCAGGGCATCACATATAACCCAGAATAATTGTAATTAGATTACAATGGTAAATAGCTGAAACATAACTCTGTCCAATAAATCTATGCATAGCATATTAACAAAACTTTAATTGTTTAGCTTAAATAAAGACTTATGCCAGATACAAACTTAGGTAAGTACAAACTGTTGGTAATCTGAGATAATAAGACACATCCACAATGCTTTTATATTTGTTGGAGGCCACCCAAAGTGGCTGGGGGCAACCTAGTCAGAAGGGTGGGTTACACATAAAAAATATATTATTATTATTATCATCTAAGTTGTGCTCACAGTAAAAGTTACTACACGGAAGCAGAGCCAGTAAGGTCCAGATCTTTTACTGTTGCAGAAGTAACAGACTGAGCAACAGAAAAATAACTTCCAGTTTGAAGGCTTTTCATATACAGATACAGAGTGTTCCTGTTGCTCTAATTCCAAGGCTTCAACTGCAATAGTAACATCAACACAAAACTAGCTAGCATACATTAATCACATCAATATAGCTAGAGTTCCAAGGCCATTACCACAGCAACTGGCTCATTTGACCTTACACCTCACACATCAAGTGATTTATGCCCATGAAGGAAATTCCTTCCTTCCTATGCCCAGCTACTCCAACACAAACCTATACCAGTTAGCATAAGAATCTCATGCACTGCAAGGACTCACTTAACTCAGAGATCCTCAGCTAAACTAATAGGTGGTAGGCAAATTCTGATTTCAAGGAAGACAGCAAAAATCCTGACTGAATAATCTTAACACCATATGGACACCAACAGTTGGCCCAAAAATAAGGTTGTAATCCTATACACATTTGCCTAGAAATAAGACCCACTGAAAACTAGGTAATGGAACTAGCTAATAAGTAGATCTGTTTAGCTTTATGCTGTTAAGTTTGTTGAACTTTAGTTGAAGTACAGTCCCATTGATTTTAGTATAATCAAAGTTTTGTCTAAGTACAGCTAAATTAGTCTGGACCCCTGACTGTTAAGTCCAGTCACAGACGACTCTGGGGTTGCGGCGTTCATCTCGCTTTACAGGCCAAGGAAGCTGGCGTTTGTCTGCAGACAGTTTTTCTGGGTCATGTGGCCAGCATGACTAAGCCGCTTCTGGTGCAATGAAACACCGAAACCAGAGCAGTGGAAACGCAGTTTGCCTTCCCGCAGTAGTGGTACCTATTTATCTACTTGAACTTTTTGGCATGCTTTCAAACTGCTAGGTTGACAGGAGCTGGGACTGAGAAACGGGAGCTCACCCCATCGCGGGCCTTCTGATCGGCAAGCCCAAGAGGCGCAGTGGTTTAGACCAGAGCGCCAACCGCGTCCTACCTTGGGGCTATAAAATGAGATAAAAGTGTTCCAAAAAAAGAACAAACGGATGCTGGACCAAGACTTTAGGATTACTGGGGATATTTAACTCTTCCAGAGTAGTCAAATTATCACTTTAGGACCATACTACTTTTAATGATGGCTGATGAAGTAATTAATTGGTGATGTGTCCAGGAATTTATTTGCCTAACACTTGCCCTTGTAAGTAGTACATCATTTTAAGTCTTAGCAATTAAATCCAATAACCAGAAATAACAACTCACTCTTGTCAGAAACTGTAGGAGAAATCCTACATACACTGAATGCTTCAATCAAAGAGCAGAGACGCATTGTATCTTCATATTATTTTATGGTATTTTATGCTTTATTGTATTTGCACATTATGTTGTACACTTCCTTCCTATTTTAAAATAAAAATACAGAAATATAACTGGCCTATCACAACATATGAAATCCATAGAATGGTCAGAATAGAATGTAAAGGAGGTGTTGGTGCTTTGTGTGTCAGTGGGGGTACCGAATCCAAAATTCAGAAATATGTAGAAAAACAAACTTCTGGGTAGAGAACAGCACACCAAAAGAGTAAGTAAAATATAAGGAACACACTTAATATTAAACCATAGTTTAAAATGAACTATGGTTTAGCACAATGTGTATGCTGTTTAAAAGTCCACACCGCAGCTCCCCAGCTCACAGCTTTATTGCACCAGGGAGGAAACAAACCAGAAGCTGGCTTTGCATTATGTATAAACCTACTCTCATGGTTTATTTCCAGACAAATTATGAGTGCTGGTTCACATGCCAGTCTCTGCTTTGTTTCCTCCTTGGCACATCAGTCAAAAGTGGGGGATCAGCATAGTGAGGACTTCTGAGCAGCATGCAACAGAATTTATTTTTAACATTACATGCAAACTGGGCTAATATCACTCCCCTATCCCAAACTTTGATGGTGATCTTTAAATGCAAAAGGTAGTTAGGTAGGCAATTGAAACAGAAGATGAAATAATAATGGGTTACTTCAACCACCCCTAAACTGGCTGGATAACAGGTCATGGCAGAGTCAAAATTTCTAGATAGAAAGAGTTTGGATCCTAATTGCCTGGGATCTGGCAGAAGATTGTAGAACTGCTTGAAACACTGATCAAATCTCTGTCAAACTCAACATACAAAAGATTAGAAAACTGCCAACAAACTCTCAACACAGTCATACTTAATTTAAAACAAAAAGAGCTGCAAAAACAAAGAGGATTCCTATTAAACTGAAGGGAGAACAAACTCTGGCAAACTGAATGCAAATCAACAATAAAACAAGCAAAAATCAACAACCTGAGAGACACACTGAATTAAAATAAATATTAAACAAAACTAAGACTCACAACAGAATGTTACAATGTGGAGTGCTCAGTCTCTACGCTGTTCCCTCCTCCTTCAGGGACACTCCATTCTTCCCCTTATCAGATATTTGTTTAAACCTAACAAATGCCCCTCAACATTCTGCAATCACTGAACATGCTCAGTCTTCACTGGGCTGTTTTTGGGAAAGTTCCCACCCATCTATGCTCTTTTTCCTAAAGTTTTTTTCTACCTCTGTAATCTTTGGATACCTTTGAGCATGAAAATACCTCCATCTTAGTTTTCAGCTGTCCCATTTTGACTACAGTCCTCTCAGCACTCACCAACTGAGATTATGATATGATCAGAACACACTGCACAGAGAAAACCAACTAGTGGAGGTAGCAGAAACTTTTAAGATAAAAAGAATACTGAAGGACTATGGCCAAAACTGCAAAAATTATTATTTCTATCGGTCAAAAATTGTTGGTCAGTTAATTAAATATGTAATAGTATTAAAGTCAACCTTCTTATCTAAAATGTGCTTTGATATAAAGAGGGCACCCAGGTAGTTACAGACCTGCCAGCCCAATTTCAGTTCCATATAAAACATAAAAAGAAGAAGTCTTACTAAAAGAGGATAAGTATTGCTTCAACAAAGGGAAATATTAACTTTCTACATTTCTTTTGAAGATACATATTACATATGACCAAAAGGTTTTTGGCTAAGTCATTTGGTCAATGTATAAGTGGAGAGACTCTTACAGATTAGGATAAAAAATAAGGAAGACGAGGACGTAGTGATAAAATGGGCAGGAAATGACATAGGAAGTTGCTTTATACCAAGTCAGAACACTGGTCTATCTACCTCAGTACTGTCTACACTGAATGACAGTAACCCCTCTAGACAGGAGTGTTTCTCAGTCCTATCTAAAGATTGAACATGCAACCACTTGCTAGCAAAACATGTGCTCTACTACGGAGTCACCATTTACACAACAGAGGGACAATGGATCCCACAGAGATCTTTATAGGGGCTTGCTGGGTTATATTATTAATAATTCATCTGCAATAGGACTGAACAGTGTGGCAGTGAAGTCTGTAGATGACACCTAATTAGTTAGGATGGTAAAATCCCAGGCAGTTGTGAAAAGCTTTAAAAAGAATTTATCCAAAATGGAAAATAAGGATTAAAATACAAGTAGATAAGATTCCATGTAAGCGAAATGTGATGCGTTTGATTTCAAAAAACTCTAACCTTATGTGTATACTCGTGGCACCCAATCTGGCTGAAACTACTCAGGAAATAGAGACAATCACTGGTTGAGATGACTTTATAAAAGGAGTAGACTAATACATGGAGAACAAACTTATGAAAGTCTCTTGACAAGTAAACAGTATCCATGATACAGAGTCAGTCTCTCTCTCTCTCTCTCTCTCTCTCTCTCTCTCTGTATGAGATGCTGCCAGGCAGGGTGGGGAGGAAATACAAGGTGCCTCTCACCAGCATTGTCTGATTCACAGTGGATAAATAATACTAGACTTATCTCTGTGAATTATGGTTTGCTCCAGCATGGCAACCCTTATGGTCTTAAAGCTTGATCCTAATAAAGGTAAAGGTAAAGGTACCCCTGCCCGTACGGGCCAGTCTTGACAGACTCTGGGGTTGTGCGCCCATCTCACTCAAGAGGCCGGGGGCCAGCGCTGTCCGGAGACACTTCTGGGTCACGTGGCCAGCGTGACAAAGCTGCATCTGGCGAGCCAGTGCAGCATACGGAACGCCGGTTACCTTCCCACTGGTAAGTGGTCCCTATTTATCTACTTGCACCCGGGGGTGCTTTCGAACTGCTAGGTTGGCAGGCGCTGGGACCGAGCAGTGGGAGCGCACCCCGCCGCGGGGATTTGAACCGCTGACCTTTCGATCGGCAAGCCCTAGGCGCTGAGGCTTTTACCCACATACGGAGATGTTATTGTTTTACAGTGTTGGAAATATGTAATGCAACTTCTTCTTGAACGCAAAGCCAACACAGAAGCACAAATAATTATACCGTGTTATCGTTTGGTACCTTCAAGTAATGAAGATACCCAAAGGAAGCTTTGAATAGCAGTACCTTCTTTAAGACTTTCCACTCCACAAACAGACATCCCCCAATGCACACAGTATTTCCACAAGATGATTAAGCTCCACATGACAGAATGCTAAACATTCTGAACTGGACGTCAAAACGGCCAGCCATTTGCTAGCAAAACATGTGCTCTACTACAGGGTCACCATTTACAGAACAGAGGGACAATGGATCCCACAGAGATCTTTATAGGGGCTTGCAGTTCATTTCTGATTCATTTACATTTATCTCCTCAACCCATGCTGAAGATGCAAGGAAGATTTATACACTTGCTATGAAATGTATTTAAAAAAACCTTCAATACTTTTTAAAGAAAAGCACATCAACCCAATGATTGTTGTCTTTAAGGCTTGTATCAGGGCCATGTAAACCACAACTGATCAGCAAAAGTTCTCATAAATCATTCCTGTGTTCTAAGCCTACTGCACCAGGGCCCTATTTTTTCCAATCAGTCCTTCCAGACAATCTGAAATAACAAAAGAATGAACACAACACATAATGACACCTCTGTGCACAGCATACCTTGGGCTCAACGGATGACAAAGGAAGGTCATCACCTTTGGGCTGCGGTAATTTGGGCTCAGAAAGCAAAGGGGGGTCAGAAAGCACATCAGAAATGGGTATTTCCCTTTCTTCTTGCCTCTGCTCAGGAGCATCATTTACCACTCCTAGACCTGATGGCAGCTGCTGTCCCAGTGCATGTGCTTTTGCCTTTTGCTGCAGAGTAAGCAGATGCTGTTGATACCAAAATTGCTGCTGTTCCTATAACAAAAAAAGATGAGAAGTACAGTAGTATCTAGGCTTAAGAGACAAGGTCATATCCTAGGAAGAAAGCTACATTAACCACTGAAAAATGGCAAATGTGCCTCATTTTCAAAGGACACTTGGACCTACTTTTGAAAAAACCAAGAGTAGCATCCAACACTGTAGTCTCGTTTGTTCAGCAGACTTCTGAATGCACAACGTAAGTTATCCTCCTTCTTCTGCCACACCAGCAAGCCCCTGTGTGCCCTCAAAGTCTGCTTGAGAGAATTGGAGAACCCTCTGAAACAAATTTTGGGGGTACACAGAAGGAATGGGAGGTCCCATTCCACAAGAGGAAATTTTCTGGCACAGCACTGGATACGACCCCAGGTTGCTACAGCTATTCCTTTCAAGTAAGGATCAAAAGGCACAATGAAAATATAGGCCTTTAATAGGATTTTAATTATGGAATGGTTTTGTAATTGGTGGCCTTTAATCTGTCAATAATCATAACATTTTTATCATTTTTGCTTAACCATCGAGTGTCCATGTTTCCTTTATTTTACTTCCTTTCATTATGACTGATTCTGTTTTTCAATCTGGCTTAGGTTACAGTATTGTCAGAAGGGCAGGGCAAGAAAGTTTCAAATAAATTCATATATAAATAACAGAAAAATGGGGTTTATAGTTTTAAAATTACTTTAGTACTGTGATTTATACTGTTTTATGTACATTGTTTCAGAATAAATCTCAAAGTGGAACATCAGATAAAACAATTCAGAATAAAACAAATTCAAGATTTAAAGAAAACATTCCAGATCCTTCAAGTGACATTTTGATTTCCCCAGTCACCAATCTAGTATCCAGCAATCTCCATGTGGTTGCAAATGGACTTGTAACAGTCGCAAAATGTGCTTGGCTAATTTCTAACATTCTCAGAAGCGGGCAGGTCTGGCCCATGGTGACCCTCCTAAGCACGCTTTGCACAAGTGGGGACATTAATACATACACCCCTGTCGTCCCATACGTGCAAGAAGCTCAGCAAGAACCCAACACCAAATTTTAGCATTACAATGACCTGTACAAACCAATGATATCAGACTTGTTACATATGCTTATGCTTGTTAAACAAGGAGCATGTTTTCCCTCAGATTCTACAGTAAAAAACACCGTTGTGCAGGTTACACTTTTAATCTGCTTCAGATTAACCCTTTTGACTGCCCTGGGTCTGTTGTAGCCCAATTTTTCTTCAGCATCTGTTGGTGCTAAAGGCACCAAACTGTATTTGTTTTCTTTCAAAATATGCATAAACACAGGGAGAATACCGGCATTTTAGAACATGTTGGATGTCGAAATGCTGCTTAGATGTATGCTAAAATATGGAGAAATGCATACAACCATGGTTGGCTTTGTCTTAATCTGTAGTTGCTTTTGTAGCTTCACTCCAATTACTGTACTCTGTAGCTACAAAGACCCATCTCTACATACTTTGCTGCAATACTAATTTTTCACCATTTCCTGATTCTTTGCTTAAGGGAAGGTGATGTTTAAATAAATTCTACAAACATTAAAAAATGTATTTATGATAAGTGTTTCAAAGAGGTCAATAAAACATTTCTCCCGTTCTTTGGAGCTATTTTCATTCTCTTGCGGGGAGGATTGAGGTCTTAAAAAAAAAAATTGTGTTACTTTTAAGCCTGCAGAAATTTTGCTTTCTTAAGTTCTGAAAGCAAAATTATATTGAGAGAATCCTCTGCTGATACCTCTGAACTCATCAGTTATTATAGATAGGCCATTTCTGTTTTCTGGTTAATTTTTTAAAACTGTGATGATTGTGATGTGTGCACATGTCCACATGCAGTCATTTCTAATAACATTTATTTCTCTGTGAAACATGAAACCCCCTCTTTATTCATTTTTCATAGTAGACTACAAAACACATAGAATATGATTGGGTCACATAGCTATATGGTCTCCCTATCAGGATTACTTACACTGTATAAAGTTTACACTGTAAACATCTGGGCAACTACTGATTGCAGAAAAATTAAAGTTGTGCCAGTATAGCCAATGCTGCATATATCCAATTTCCCTTTTCCTCAAAATTCCTGTTTTCTGCCTGAGTGACCAGAGCAGCATCCCCTGTGTTTTTTAATGAGAAAGTCTCACTGAGATCAAGGGGACATACAATGCAATCCTTACCCCCAGATACAGAAGTTAAGAAGTGGTATATCTTCCCAAATTAAACCACAAGAAGCAATGTCAGTGTAAAAGACAAAAGCAGGGTTCTGTCAAGGGGGGTGGTGAATGGGTATGTTGAAGGCAAGAAGAGAGATAAAAAAATTGCACTGCATCCTGACACTGTCTATCCATTGGTCCCACTCTCACCCACAGAACTTGATATAATTTACATCACCCAACATGCAGGTATAATAACTAAATTCACCCCAGGAGACAATGGAAGAGCAGAAAGTGCAGGTTTAGACTGCTACCCCTTCTTCTACCAGAAGCAGTAAGAATACAACTGATCCACAGACTAATTATTAGTAAGATTTGACCTCCTAATAGCTTAAGAAATGATTTTATCAATATGATGACTCAACTAACAGGTCAGTAATTTACTCCATCACTTGGTATAGAAATCTTATGATTAAAGATCTGAAAACTGGCTTGAGAACTGGCTCACAAAATGACTCTCAGTGATCAAAATCTTAAACAAATACAAATGAAAATGTACTGTACAATGTAACATAAAAGTTAGGACATATCCCTTTTTCTCCCTGCCTTACACATAACTGAGCTTAAACAAATTGCATAGAAGGAGAAAGAAGAATCTGAGCATGCACCATTCTGAATCCCTGCCTCAACCTCATACAGGATACTAGCATCAGTGAAGTATACATTTTTCATTCTTTCCATCTTAGAAAATTTCAACCGTTACATGAAGAAATTACAGGTCTGCTCTGCAAAACGCGTCAAAGAAAGGCACCCCTTTCTTTTCCACTTCTTATATGCTCTCATGTATTTTTCACAGGAATTGTAAAATTAATGTTAGATCATCTTGGGGTGGCAAGTCTGCCTGGATACGTGTGCCTAAGTGCTAATTCCCTTTTGTACAGTTATAAACAAAGCACCACAATAATTATTAATAGTAGCTATATATGCATGGAACAAGGATACCACAGAGTTCAGAGAATAGTAGAAAACACACAGGCAAATAGCACATGTGTTATTTTCCCCTCCAGCATTCTCCCTTATAGTATAGTATGGACTGCAATTGCATGGTATACCACTGACAGCAATCCTATGACTATTTATCAGGTTGAGTTACATTTTCTGAAGGTTACTAAAAAGGAAAATAAAATCACTTTTGTTATTCCCTCATCAACTGTGAGCGACTGAAATGGACATGGGGCCCCAGGGAGTGAAATGCTTACATCACAATCCAAGGTAATTCCATACCAGCCCCTTTCAAATGCCACAAAAATCATAGTTAGAAACAAATTATGGCTTGCTGTGAATGAGCAACATGTTTAAATCATACCCGCTCTGCTCCTAGAGGAGGAAATGAATCTTATTACAAATCAAAAAGGAAAGGAACAACAGCACAAGCCTTCTCAGAAGCGCTCTCGTAGTCCCCAACATGTGGGACTGCCTGTGATTTTCAGAGTTGAAAAGCAGTCTGCTTAACTCTGAGGCACTCTTACAAATAAAAACAAAAACCCAATGTTCTAGGCCTGATACTTCTTAGATTCTATTAAGCCCCCCCGATCCATTCCTGCTTTGAAACAAAAAAATAAAGGTGCGTTAAAGCCAATTTATTTGTTACTGTTTTCTAAATGAAAGCTGAGAAGAGAAGACTCCCTGGAGAAGACACTGATGCTGGGAAAGATGGAGGGCACAAGGAGAAGGGGGCGACAGAGGACGAGATGGTTGGATAGTGTTTTCGAGGTTACCAGCATGAGTTTGACCAAACTGCGGGAAGTAGTGGAGGACAGAGGTGCCTGGTGTGCTCTGGTCCATGGGGTCACGAAGAGTCGGACACGACTAAACGACTAAACAACAACAACAACAAATGAAAGCATTTCCTTCAAAGAAAAGATATGAACTTATGCATGCTTGTCCAGGCAGACTTAGCGCTCACATGGCGCTAACCTGTGAGTTTTCACATTTCCTACACAAAGAAGTCCTTTTTTTTGTTTGGGAAAAGCATAATTTATCAAGCAGTCCCAATATGACAGTAGAAAAGAAGTAACTCAGCAAATAAATGAAAGTAGGAATGCCAGCAGCTCCTCCCCACTCATCAGATGGCCATTCTGATAACCAGGGAGGAGATAATTTGCATCACCAGGGCATTGGATTGGGCAGTTTTAAATCCCTCCTCTCTTTTCATCCAGGATTATGTGCACTTTTTAACCACCATCAAAACTGGTGATGTCTCTCTCATGGGTCTAGTCAAGACTAGGCTCCTGGGTAGGGGGTCAGTCATCTTTGCTTTAGACCCTATGGCCTAATTTTAACCAAGATGCCTCCTATTTAAATGTGAATCTGCTATTCCATCTCGTCAATTTTATCTTACTCCAACTCCCACCTATGCACATCTCACCCCTGGGTCCTATGAGATATTCAAACTACAGCGGACACATCATTCTTACCTGGGCGGTCATTGTGGAGGGGTCTGCGTGCAGGGCGGCTTGCTGTCGCTCACACCTAATATCTATGTCTGGACCACTGCCCTGTCTTAACTCCTGAGGTTCAAGAGCAGGCTGAGGAATCTGGGGTGGGGCGAAGCGTGAGTCGGATGGAGTAACGGGCTGGCCCGGTTGGCAAGCTGAGGTCTGGGGCGTGGGTGGGTAAGCCTGGGACTGGTAAGGCTGAGAAACGGCTGGAGGAGGGTGTTCCGAAAAGGTGCGTGGAGCTGCCTTCGGCAACTTCGAATGGGGCTGGTAGGGCTGCGACGAGGAGTTCTGTGGCGGCAGAGACTGAGACATGTAAGGGTCCGTCTCAAGGGAGGGTCCTGGGGGCATGTACGGCTGGGCAGGTGACTGTGGCGGAGAGGACAGGTCCATGTCCATATCCACGCGAGGCGGCTCCTTGACATCCTCTCCGAGAGCCAGAGGCGGCCTCTGGGCATTGTGGAGCAGCGCGTCCCGCGGGAGAGGAGGCGGCGGCGAGGGCTCGCGGTGCTTGAACGGCTTCGGATAGCTGCGCGCCGAGGGCGGCCCTGGGGGCAGCGGCGGCTGCCAGGAAGCGGCGGGGGGAGGAGGAGCGGCGCTGGGCAGCGGCGGCGGCAGGCTCGGGGGAGGCCCGCCGGGTGGCGGGGGAGGCCCGCCTAACAACACCGACTGCAGCTGCTTCTGGTGCATTTGCTGGAGCTGCTGCAGCTGGACCAGGTGCTGCTCCTGCAGGCTCAGGAAGCCGGACGTGCCGGCGGCGGCCGTCGCGGAGCCAGGAGCCGCCGACGAAGCCGCGTAGCTGCCCAGAGCCGGCGGCGGCGGCATGGCGTTAGGCAGCACCGCCGGAGGAGGCCCGGCCATTGGCGGCGGAGGCATCATGGTGGGCGGGGGAGGGTAAGCCCCAGGGGCCGCCCCGTACAAACCCCACGCCGGGAACATGGAGCCGGGAAGCGGTTCTCAGCAGGCGGCAGCGGCGGCGACAGCGCCGAAACACAGGCCGCGAAAGCGGCGGGTGGCGACGGGGGCGCGTGCGGTCCACTGCGCCTGCGTGGATAGCCGGAGTCATAGAGAGCGACTTCCTCAAGCTAGAGTGTTTCCGGCCCGGCCCCAGGCAACTGACTCCACGGAGCAACAAACTGGGAGCTCCCCGCGAGAACGCCTTGTATGTAGCCTGTAGCCTTGTCGCAGAACTTCAGCTTTTATGCTAACGTCCATCAAATATGCCCCTCCCCTTCCATACCGGTTTCTTGTTGGTATGATTTTATTATTTGGAAATATAAGTGATGCCAACCTTGTGGAACTTGTTCAGCATTTTGTTCTGGAAGTGGGCAACTACAGTGGTACCTCGGGTTACATACGCTTCAGGTTACATACGCTTCAGGTTACAGACTCCGCTAACCCAGAAATAGTGCTTCAGGTTAAGAACTTTGCTTCGGGATGAGAACAGAAATCTTGCTCTGGCGGCGTGGCGGCAGCAGGAGGCCCCATTAGCTTCAGGTTGAGAACAGTTTCAGGTTAAGTATAGACCTCCGGAACGAATTAAGTACTTAACCCGAGGTACCACTGTAGATGCTTCTGAGAAGCCCACAAGTAGGACCAGAGCAAGATGGATACTTCATTAGTTTGGCAACCGAAAAAAACAAAAAACATTACCATCCTTCCAAATCACTACATCGGGCCACCAACCTTTTGGGATTAGTGGGCACATTGCAGATGCTGAGGGAGTGCTGAGGTTGGCATTTCCCTAGAATCATAGAATTGTAGAGTTGGAAGCGACCCCCAAGGGTTCTCCAGTTCAACCCCCTGCAGGGCAGGAATCGCAGCTAAAGCATCCATGGCAGATGGCCATCCTACCTCTGCTTAAAAACCTCCAGGGAAGGAGAGCCCACAACCTCACGAGGGAGATCGTTTCACTGTCAAACAGCTCTCACTGTCAGAAAGTTCTTCCTGATGTTTAGTTGGAATTTCCTTTCTTGTAACTTGAAGCCATTGGTTCGAGTCCTACCCTCCAGACCAGGAGAAAACAAGCTTGTTCACTCTTCCATGTGACAACCCTTTAGATATTTGAAGATGGCTATCATAGCTCCCTCTCAGTCTCTTCTTTTCCGGACTAAACATACCCAGTTCCTTTCAACTGATCCTCATAAGGCTTGGTTTCCAGACCCTTGATCGTCTTGGTTGCCCTTTTTTCAACTACAATATCCTTTTTGAGGCGAGGTGACCAGACCTTTACACAATATTCCAAATGTGGTTATGCAAAAGATTTGTATAATGACAGTTTTATCTTCAATTCCTTTCCTAATGATCCCTAGAATGGAATTTACCTTTTTCACAGCCGCCACACACTAGGTCAACAACTTGATCAAGCTATCTGGTCTGTCACCTCCAGTTCAGACACCATGAGTGTATATGTGAAGTTAATATCCCCCCCCTATGCATCACTTTACCCTTATTTAACATTGAAAGGTGCTTGCCCTTTTAAAGCCCATTCGCTCAGTTTGGAGAGGTCATTTTGGGGCTCTTTTCAATGTCTTCTTGTTTTAATGACCTTGAACAATCATCAGCAAATTTGGCCACCTCACTGTTCAGTTCTAAACGAACAAGTTAAAAACACTGGTCCCAATACCGATCTCAGGGGAAATCCACTTTCTACCTCTCTCCATTCAGAGAACTGTCCATTTATTCTGACTTTTTGCTTCCTGTGACTCTTATGACTGACTGCTAAACTTACTCAGGAGTGTTTGGCAAATTACCATATTTCTGCATAACCCCACCAAAAGTAACCTTCCCAACTTTTTGTCATGAGAAACCCCAACTGTAACATTTGCAACTTGAGAAAGGACTCAGATAAAAAAAAAAAGAAATTCTCAAAAGCCAATTTCTAAACAATAATGAATATTTATTCTGGAACACAGAGCAGGGGTACATTCTCATGATTTTTCTTGAAGAGACAAGTTTGAAGAAATCAGTTCAGCTTCAAACACTGCAGGAATTAAATTAGAAACAGGAACCTTGTAACAGGCCCAGTGTTGTAAAAATTGGCAGTTGGACCCAGCAGACATATCTTGGATGCTTTTCAACAGGTGGTTAAAATCGGGGTGCTCCATAGTCATCAGGCATCCGCTCAATGTTATATCTAGAATGAATGAAGCATTTTGGTAAGTAGTCTATCATAAACCCACCATGGAATGCAGTGAAAACACAATAAGGGTGCCACTGTATTTGCTGGCATTATTTGATTATTATTTGATTAAGTGAGCTTGAATCCATAAAACCCTTTGCTATAGTGATCTGAAGGACCACAAGGCAACCACCTTTCTGAAGCCAAGCAGGCATGGGTCTGGTCACCACCTGGAAATCTCTTGTATGCCACCTTCTACTTTGATGGGAAGAGAGCAAACAAACAAGGACATGAGAACTGCTAGCTTTTGGAGCCAGGGACCAGTCTTCTTGTTTTTTTATTAGTCTATAATGAACTATATAAATAATGATGTATTAACTTTTACTTGACAGTCCTTGTTATTACTTATATAGCATCGCCAATGAGTAGTTCTTTAAAGACTAATAAAAAGCAAGAAGACAGGCTTTGTTCCAAGGAGCTTGCAAATCTTGATTTAACAGGAACATAGGAAGCTGTCTCAAACTAAATTAGACCATTGGGTCCATTTAGCTCGTTATCATCAATGATGACTGGCAGCAGCTCTCCAGAGTTTTGGACAAGAATTTTTCCTAGCCCTACATTATGACACCAGGAATTGAACACGGGACCCTTTGCATACAAAGTATGTGCTCTACCAATGAACTACAGTGGATAACAGTATTAGGGGCAGAAGGGAGAGGTAACACCAAACATTTATGGGTATAAATAAATGCAGTTACATATACAGGCGACTCCCCACTTACACAGAGGTTATGTTCCAGCCCCATCGCACATAAGTGAAATGCACGTAAGTGGGGAGCACCCTGAAGTGTCCTTGTGGCTAGCAAGTAGACTCCAGAGCTTGAAGAGAACATCCTGTTTGGGCTCTGGTAAGAGACTCCTTGTTGAGGCTGCTCAGCCTCCACGCAGAACAGCTGATGTACAGGGTAGTGCAGCAGCAGCAGCAGCAACTTTCCCACAGGTCGGCTGTTAAGCGGGGGAGCCGAGCAGCCTCAACAAAGCCCCACTGCGCCTCTGGCTCATGAGAAGACCCTCCATGGACATCCTACTCAGGTTCTGGGAAGGGTCTTCTCAGGAGCCACGTACTTCCAGCCACTTCCGGGTTCCTGGAGTTGTGTCTGTGTGCAGTAGCATACGAAAGAGGAACTGCCTGTACTTAGGCTTTCTTTTAGTTTGAGCAGCAGGATATGAACACATTAGCATTCTCCCACTTGTGTTGTGGTTTTCTTATTACTATTAAGCCCTTCCTTTATATAGGTAGACTATCTCTAAAACGACAGGCAACATTTCAAAATACACTATAACAAAGTAAACTGCAATTTAATTTGTCAGAATATTACTCTCAAGTGGGAGCTCACCTACCTGTGGTTTGATATATACATTATTGGGACTCCTGGGATCTTCCGTATTCTCCGCTTGAGGTCTCTGTCTACAGTAGCCACTATGTAACACTTGTGCTGCAAGAAAAGAGCATAATCTCATAACTGAGAAATGAATCAAATGTTGTTTTCCTTTGGCCACGGAGTGCCAGAGGATACAAATTTCCAGAGGTAACAAGTTTTTAGACAACATCAGATCTCCCTCCCATAAAATACAGTATCTCCAAGGACATGTCCTGAAGAGCTGAGGAGACAGGATTTCCTCTGTTACTACCAATTGTTTGTAGCAGTGGCATCTCCTTCCAAAACAGGCAATATCAGCTACAAGACAGCTTCAGTTGTCAGCTTCATTCAGGTCATTAATTTCAGCAAATTAAGCAGTGCTACATACATCTGCATGCCTACAGAACAGACATTTCTAGAGATAGAGGTACCTGAGTGACCCTCTGCACCAAACAGTCATCAGCATAGGTCCCTTTGTGAGTGCAGGGCAAGCGTTCAAATCGTGGGTCTTTTGCTATCCTGTAATATAATCAAACAGAGAATTAAGATAGCATTGGGCCCACTGACATAATTAGAAGAATTAAAAGATTCCTAGAAGAAAAACAATTTCTGTCTTTTCCTCACTAGGTATACACCAAATCTGTAGGTTGCTATTATCAGCTTAACGTTTATTTCTGACTGTCATCCTGCCTGTCAGATGTATTGCCTGGGTATGCTAACTGCCTGGCCTCCAGTAAATTGAATAATAGGAAGCTTCAAACCCTTCTCCCGGGCATACACTTAGGGTTATATCCAGTGCTCATGCAACAAATTTTGTGCACACAACTGAACCTCCTCTTCTCCTTCCCCCACTCACACCCTTAATATCAGAGTCTGGAGGATTGTAAGATAGCCTGAAGCAGATTTGGGGGCATGTGAGAGGCGGAGAGTAAACTGAAGTACAAGCCAAACTCCATTCAGTTCTCTGCCTGCTGATGGAACACAAAAACCTTCTTGAATTCTTTCTCAGTGTTCTTTGTGTAGCACAATAAACTGCTTTCTTTAAACCTTGATCTAACTCGTGAATCTACAAGCCAGTAAGTTATTCTATGAACTTGATAATCTACTCAAGCTACAAACTTAGGAGGAGGGCAGAATTGAATTCTGCCCAGAAGAGACTGGGAAGATCAACTGCCTTGCTTTCTTCAAAAGGTACATTCAGCCTGGTGAACAAAAGAAGTGATGCAGTGACAAGCTGTCCAAGTTTAATGATTTGGGATCTAGCTCTTGTACCCCAAGGAAGAGTCCCTGTTCTCCATATTCATAAGTTAAACTAGATAAACTCAATAACAGAGTCCAGTTATAGGTCCCTACCTTAGGGCAACACGATACTTTTGCCCCAGTTTCTCAATTTCAGCCATGACACAATCTGTGATACACGGAATACCTACAGGAATACAGAAAATATTTAATATCACCAAACTGAATTGCAACAAACTCCTGCAGGTGCCTAAATCAGAAAATATTAGAT